AATAAGCGGGTTAATTTTAGAAAAAATATATGAGCTTTTCGTCGGAGAAAACGAAACTGTCCGTAATATCGGGGTGTCCGTATTAAGCGGGCATCCGTAGAGCGGGGTTCCACTGTATGTTAAACTTAGAAAAATAAGAACCTCCAGAAATGAACCAGCTGTTAACAAATAGTACGACTCTTTTAAAAACAACAAAAAAATTAATCTGCAATAACTCTTTGAAGTAGCTTGCCCGATTGAGCTTAGGGCCTTTTCAAGAAGAGATGGTGTGCCTCTTAGAAATTCAGACAAGCCACCTTACAGAAAACGTAACTAGCCTCCATATTCAAAAATAAAAGCACAAATTTCAAATATCGACTATAGCAAAAGAATCACTTACCGCGGCACAGGCAACGGCATACAGCAGCTGGGAGATTATAAAAAATGTCTGTGTGACAGCATATATAATTTTTTGGAGCGCTTTCGACAGGTCGACTTGTACATGAGGTTCCATTATCATCAAAGAACTGAGAAAGAGTGGAGTGAAAACCGCTCAATAATATTGCAGGAAGAATTGAAGCAGTCGGTTCCCGATAGGCGGGCTAGTGGTGAACCAAACTGTTATTTTATACGAACACATCACACTGATCAGTGTATTATTTTCATGTTTTTATATTTTGCCTGAACAAGCTTGTACGTGTGTGGTTGTGTGTGAGTCACATGACAATACCATGTTCTGTCTCGAAATTTGGTAAAGTCGATCGGACAACTTTCAGGCAACATTTTTAAAATATCATAATATTGTCTTATGTGAAAATAATAAAGACTTTCATTAAGTGATGGCCTGTTTTTTAAATTTATTTTGTTAGACGGTGCTGACTTCATTGGTTATGTGCTAAAATCATTTTATATTCCGATGCACCCCCACCGGGTGATGCACGGCCTGTCTCAATTATTTTCTTCATGACTTTCGTGACATTCATGTTTCAACCGTACAAAGCTACACATTGTTGGAAACAAGTGCATGTGTGACTTATTGTCGCTCATGGTTTGCGGCCTGTGAAGGCATGACTTAATCTCGTTCCCAGAGATCTGGGAACGAGATTAGGCATGACTCGGTTACCGGAAACGTGGTGACCGTATCTCGTACAGTTCTTGCAAGTAATATGCCCCAGGTAATATGCAACAAGAGAAACGAAACGCATTTTTATTAAATCCTGATAATGATAAGCAGACTTTCTCGAGTCCGTTTGTCAGTTTGGGGTAGTACGATGGCCTAGGATGGACTTCTCGCAACTTCATCGCTCATGTTTCGCGCAAAGAAAGAGTTGACTGTTGGCAACTCGCTAATGTATTGGCCAAAACCATTTTTTTTTTATTTTTTTTATTTTTAAAATATTTTCCATGTCAAAAATGCCATTGTATTTGTTTTGGTTCCATGTTTATTATTTTGAAATATCGTTATAATTAATATCACTGTAAATGCTGAAGACATTATATCAGTTTGACAAAGTGCTCTCTTAAAGAAGTTATTTTTTTCTGATGTCCTTATGACAGTAGTTAAGCATTAAATTAATTAAATTAAATTAATTGTTAATGATTCCAAAGTGAAACTGTCAATCAAAGTAAGAATATCCTTGCATCCGCTTTTTTGTGAAAGATGAGTAACATGGCAACTATGTGTTTCCGTGTGATACCTTGGGACTTCTTGTGACACCTTGTAATTATACCTTGTGACAGCTTTTGAGAGTCCTTGTCATACTTACTCGTAATTTAGTAATTGTACCTTTCCGGAGCGCTTCGGCAGCACATCGAAGAGTTTGTTCGCCAGCCTCGTTCCCAGGGTCTCTCTTCTTTCCGCCTCCTGGAGCGAGAGGGGTGAGGGGAAAGAAGAGAGACTATTGAAACGAGGCTGTTTGTTCTTTGGGAACGAACATCATAAATTACTTATTTCAAAGAAAATCTGTCAATCAAAAAAAAAAAAAAAAAAAAAAGGAATAAAGNAAAAAAAAAAAAAAAAAAAAAGAAAGGAATAAAATCCTTGCATCCGAAATTGACTCCTTCCAGTACAGGTTAGAAGATCACAGAAAGAAGTGACATATCACATGAAAATATACTTTATTGCAACATCATGTTGAGCAGGTTCTGTTGTTTCACGGTGATCATGGTGAAGTGGCTGCATGGTTGCATCAGGTACAGACAGGAGTCCCCTCTGTTACTTGGTCCATATTGAGCGTTAGGTAAAGGAACACGCGCCGAGAGGAAAAATGGCCGCGAGATGGTGGGAAAGCTTTCTAGCACGATTTTCGTGCAGCCATTTTTTCCTCTCGCGCTTTCATTTAGGGTCACGCTCGAAAAATTAAAAGAGGGAGGATGCGGGTAGTCTACCATTAGGAGGCACTTACATTTGGAGACAGCAGAATTACAAGTCAAATCTCACTTTGCTGTTTTAATCTAAATGCATAACATGTCGTGTTCAAAATCTCAAAAATTACAATAATTTGCGAAGTCTTCCGGATAGCCCTTTAGTATCCCGCCGGCTCTCCACTGCCATCCTCACACTCGACGTTGTTTGGCCAATCACAGACGAGTATTGCCGGGTTAAATTTAAGTCCCGCGGGACAGGCCATTTCATGTGCGTTTCCAGCCACGTCACACATAATGAAGCCATGGCAATCATCAGGGTTGGCGTGCACTCCGGCTGAGTTGCTTTCACAAAAACCTGGTTGTAAATGAATAAAAG